GAAACGTGTCATCGGCCGGTGCGTGCGGACAGCAGTCTGGACGACCTGGCCGGGCTAGAGTAGGTGCGGGGGGAGGGGAGGGGGTGCGGAGGGGGTCGATTCGGTTGGGCGCGGGACAGGGGGGGGTAGCAGATGCTGAGAAGACGGGCGTGGGGAAAGGTAGGCTGGGTCATGGGCTGGGGCGAGGGCTGCTGTAGGTCGGGGCGTGGCGTGCTGTAGCTGCTACTGCCAATGGTGTTAATGCTACTGCTGCTGTTACTGCAGTTGTTACTAATACTGCTTCTGCTATTGCTTGGGGCCCCCCTCCTTGGGGACGCCTTTCGGTCAGTTCTACGTTTGGTACACTCTTGCCCTGGCAGCAGCTTCAGTCGTGTGTGGTTCGTCTTTCCCCCCTCCTCCTCCTCCTTTCCCCGCATATCCCCTCCCCTCCCCCACCCACCTTCAGGTCGGTCAAGGAGGAGGTTCGGATGTCGCTACTGCTGCCGCTAAGGATGCCGCACCTGTGAGCTGGGTGGTGTGGGTTCATGTGGTGTGGGTTCGGGGGTTCCCAATGGCGGGACAGCAGTCCCGTGTAACATGCTAGCACTGGCGGCATTGCCAGGAATCGAATGACTTCACTTTCATCTTCGTCTTCTCCCCCGCCGGGTCCCCCCCCCGCACACACGCACACATCCGCCCCCCCCCTGACAGGTTCCAGGGTATTCGTCAGCCCGCCAGCAACTTCTTATTGTATGGACCGCCAGGGACTGGAAAGGTGGGGGGAGGATTGGGTGGGGATCGGGGTAGCGGTGGTAGGTTAGGTGTTTGCATAACGCCATGGGAGGCTGCGGGGGGGCCCCCACATAGGTATGTAGAGGCGAAGCACACGGTCGTATCCTTAGTCCCACCCCCCTTTACGGCCACGTACGGCCATCAGCCTCTACACAAACTCCCCATGCTTTGGACTTTGGCAGCTAACCTTTTGCAATTTGCGTTTTGATTCTCCGCCTCGGCTGATGTGACTGTGGCTCTGCCCGGCTCTCATCTCGGGTTGGTAAGTATTAGATAGTAGTTACAATATTAATTTAATTATGTGCCCGCGTGTAAGCCTAACTCCCCTCTCCTTACCTTACAAGGGTTTTTGAGTCACGGTTTCGGAGCTGTCGGCGGCTCCTTGGGCACCGACAAGTTCTGTTTGTCGTGTTTAGCCCCCTGATGGATTTCGCCGTCCTCACCGTCGTGGCTGCACACACCCCTCCCTCCGTCTCCTTTCCTTCCTCGCGCACATGCATCAGACCATGCTGGTCGAGCGCATCGCTGCGGAAGCGGGAGCGACTCTGTTGGTGCTCACGCCCGGTGCAATACTTTCAAAATGGTGGGATTGGGAAGGGAGGGAAATTTGGGGATGGCGGGATGGCCGGATGGTTTCCCTTTTTGACACCTTTGGTTGATGATGATGCACCGATGCCACGTGTACATACGGCATGCACGCACATAGCTATACATCTATAAACGGGCACGTGCATCCCGTACATGTACCCGTATACACACACGCGCTCATGCCCGTACATGTGCCGTACTCAGGAGCGGCGAGAGTGAGAAACAGCTGCGGGCGGTGTTCGAGGTAGCTCGCGTCAAACAGCCGTGTATCGTGTTCATGGTGGGTGGGTGTCTCCTTGCGCTAGAGGAGAAACAATGCCCGTATGTAAAGGTATTTTTTGAGGGGGAAGATGGGTTAGATGAGGGTTATGGATAAGGGCAGATAGGGCCGTGTGTTTTGCCCCTCTATTCAGCGTTTTTTTCTGCGGAATACATTCCGAGTTCGGAATAGAAGCTCTACTGTGATGTGATGTGATGTAAGAGGGTTAAGTATGCTGTTCGGCGCGCGACTCGTCCTCGATTCTGTGACGTGACAAAAGATTTGGTGATGGGGCTTCGGGCAGCTTTATGCGTGGCCCTGCTTCTCCGCCCCTCGTCTTGATGATTCCAGTCCTTACAGCTCTTACCCCACAAACGTACCTCCACTCCCAGCCCCGCCCGTACTTCGTCCCTGAACCTTCTCAGCGCCCACATCCGCAATCCCGCCCTTGCCCTCGGGCTTCTCCCAAAGGACGAGGTGGACAGTCTTGCGCCGACCCGTGGGTCAGGGGACGACCCCATTGGGCGCCGACTGCTCAACGAGCTGTTGGTTCAGATGTCCTGTCTGGCGTCTTCATCGTCATCATCAGGGCCGGGGGAGACCCCCGGGGGATTGTTGAAAGCAGCGGATGCGAGAGCAACAGCAGTAGCAGGCAAAGAGGCTCGAACCTCTGCAACAACAGCAGCAGTAGCAACAGCCACCGCGGTGGCGGCAGTGACGTCGAGTGCTAGAGACAGGGGTACTGGAAACGGCGCTGGTGGTGGAGCTGGTGGAGTCGGGTTGGGAACATGCAGCCCGACGGGAGTGTACGTCTTCGCGGCCACGAACCGCATCCAGGTGGGGGCTTAGGGGGGGAAAGACGAACCACGAACGAGTGAAGCTGCTGCCAAGTGAAGAGTGCAGTTAGGGGGCCCCCCAGGTGCGTGCGTGGGGCATGGTTGAATGGGTGGATGGGTGGGGATGGAGAAGAGTAAGGACAATAAGAGGAGAAGGACGCGGCCCAACACAGGACCAGGGCACTGCCCGGGAGTTCGCTTGTGTACCTCTGTTTACGCGCCCACCCACAACCTCTCCGCTTTCTGCACAAGATGGCGCCAAAGCATAGCGAGACGCGAAAGCTAAAAGCAAAGTGAGATGAAGGGAAGTCGTTTTACCGAAACGGAGAGCGTCGCAATACCCACCCACCTACTTTTGCGTGCGCAGCAAAGCCATGATGGCTTTTCCTTTTCCTTGGTGGCGCGACAGCCTATGCAGTATTGGCAACTATTAACAACTATTGGCAAAGTCCTTTTAAGTGATGGCACACCTTTCAACTCAGCGACATCGAGGAGTGTGGGGCCTTATGCACAACAGTTTTATAATCGCGTACGTCGCATGATGGAACCTGCTGCTGCACTGCTCTTAACGCAGAGGTTTGACGCGATAGTGACGATGTTGTGGCGATAGTGACGATGTTGTGCAATGATAAACATATATATAGATGTACGAGGATTGACACGGTCTCCTCAAATCTATTTCTTCCCTACCTCCTTCCCTTTCGCTCCTCTCATGTTGGCGATGATGGGCCCCGCGCGTAAGGGTGTTTTCCAGGTGCGCGTCTTCCTCGTGACTGCTTGAACACGACGTCCATCCGCTGCATGTGGACCTGATACGCAGGACTGTGACCCGGCGCTGCTGCGCCGCTTCGACCGGCGGGTGGCGGTGCCATTGCCTGATCTGGCAGCGCGGGAGGCATTCCTAGCCGCCGTACTGACGAGGCCCGAGCTGGCGGGACAGCACTCCCTGGACAGTGGGGAAGTACGGCAGCTAGCGGAGAGGACGGCGGGTGAGCGAGGGATGGGTCTGTCGGTGTCGTCTCTCTTTTCAGTTCCGTTCGGTCTTACCTGCCTGCCCCTTTCCGATGTCCTTAATTTGGTCCTATGTCCTCAATCCTCCGCAGCCACTTCTGCTTTTACTGATCTTACACCTGCACATGCACATGCTATTGCGACTGTTGCTGCCTCTACCTGCCTCTATTACCGCGCCACCACAGGCTACAGCGGTAGCGACCTGACCCAGCTATGCCGCGAGGCCGTCATGCAACCAGTGCGGGAGCTGCTCAGGCAGATGGCGGCGGCAGGGGCATGGGGCTGGGGAGGGGGGGGGGACGGAGGTGGCGGCGGTGGCGGTGGGGCCGTGGTAGCGGGACCCCGGCCGCTGGCGCTGCGGGACTTCGAGTGGGCCCTGGGGGAGATTCAGCCCGTGGCGCTGTAGCCTTCTTCGCGCAGTAGGGCGGGGCCGCGGGGCTGAGGCCCGGCGAGGTGGGGCGGTTGACGGCCGCTTTGACAGGCTGGCTGTATCGCTTTTAAGAGGTCTGCTGTCAGGATGAACGCGAAGATATCCATGTCTGTATGTATGTGTGTATGTGCAGGAGAGGGCGCAGGTGTAGATTGTGTACGTGTGTGAGCGAGGAAGATGATTTTGTGGGTTCCGGCTTGGAGGGGGATTTCTCTGGCCAGAGGGCCAGAGGTTCTTGACGAGCGTCGTCCATTTGGTATTGCTACTGGACGAGCGCCTCCCAGTGTTCCTGGCAGTGCAAGTGACCTTTCTGCTATCCTTGTTTTATTCTCCTGGAATTAACAGCCTTCCTCCAATGCCAGGGGAAGGGGAACGGAAACAAGGGAAACAGGTCCTGGCATCCAGTCCAATGCAGCGGCGTGAGATTGGTGTGGTACCTTCATCGCTGCACTGCTGTATTATTACCAGATGACATTTAAGTAAAGGAAAAATTGAGAAGATTTCTGCCTGCGGTATCTTGTTACCCGTGCTGTCTCTGTCTCTGGTGCATTTGCCAATGTAACAGGGGGCATTTTAGTTGGGGTCAATCGGCAATCAGTCATCCTTTTTTTCGTAACTAGAAATTGGTCCGTGAGGAGGACGGCACCGAAGCTGTGGTTTTCCATGTCCATGACGAAGAGTCGTTTCCTTGCCGGTCATCGCGACGCGTCAACTAAAGGGTGTAACTCACAGCGGAGGAAATGGGCAAGCAAGCACGTGTGTATCCACACAACGTGGCATGATTGTTACGGATCCGGGTCTAGTTGGGATCTGTTGCCGCTTGCGTGGAAGCAGTGCGGCGTTTCTGTGCCGGAGGCGACCACGTGCCCTTGTGACATGCACGTGGACCTGGCAGAGGAGGAAAACAGTTATACATAGTGCCAATTTGCCGAAATCTTTGCGAGCTGCAGGGCATCCGTTATGTACTGATAGAGGGGACCTTTCGAATTAGTGTATGTTAGCAGGTATTGTAGTAGCCATGTACATGCAACCGGAAATTTTCGGGCCCGGGCATGGCCGTTCCCTCTGTGTAACTACGGCGATTACGCGAATAAATGGTCTGGACATGTCATTATGTCACCAGCATGGATATGGGCTGCGCGGTGAAGAAATGCATGCAGATGCACAACGAAGAGGTTTTATTGGCCACTGCCGCACGTGAAAGTATTACCTTGCGGAATCAATTACGCATTAGGCATGCCGCAAGCTGTGAAGACTGAAGAGGGGGCGTTCGTTTTTTGCAACCACTGGTCGTTTGGATCCCTTACGCGCCATTTTGAAATCTAACACCTTTCTCGACTTCCTTAGCCCAATGGCTCTACTCGCCGAGGAAGAACGCCACTGCAACATTTAACATAGTATTTATCGAAGCCTTACTCCATCCCGCACGAAACATTGAAAGGTTCAAACTTGAGCTCAGTTGCAAGGTTCGCCCTAGGCCCTTGTTTGCGATATAACCAAATTTCATTTGTAAGTAGACAATGCACTTACAGACCTTCAGTGCAAAATGCATCTTTTCCAGGCGAGCTATGTCGAGCCGGGCCCCGCACCCCATGCCACCGCCAGCATGTTCAGTGCGCTTATCGCAGCGTTACAGTAGCAATAGGAGCTTTCACTCCTCAAGCCGTCCGGTTGCCGTTCCTGGGGCCCGCGCCAAGCATTTTCAAGTGGTCGCATTTCGGGAGGCCAAGAAGGAGCGCGCAGCGGCCTCAGCGCCACCTCGACCACCCCGCTCAATGTCAGCCAGCGAGCACGTCTCTGTTGCAGTTGATTATTATCGCCTACTTCAGGTGCCGCGCGTCAGCAGGCCCGATGCCATTCGGAAGGCTTATGAGACCTTGGTCAAACAGCCCCCAGCAACTGCGTACTCTGCGGACACGCTCTTTGCGCGTGCGGTGCTCTTAAAAGCCGCAGCCGAATCCTTGATTGACCCTGACCTGCGCCGATCCTATGATGCCAAGGTGGCAGCTGGACACAGTGCCCTTCGAGTCAGTCAGCAGGACCTTCCCGGGGCATTGGTCGTTCTTCAGGAGGTGCGTGATCAGCACCTTCACGTTATCTATCTGAATTAGAGCTAAGGAACAGGGTCTTCCCAGCTGAAGGGCAGGGCTTTCACATGGGTGCTCAGGACCTCGGATTGCTCGCGAGCCCCAAAGACGCGAGCCCCAAAGAACAGGTGGTGCGGTTATTACCCGATGATTTGTAGGCGCCGACTGCAAGCATTGCATGTCGCACGGCAAGTTCGTATCACCGCGTTCGCGTGCTGGGGAAGCGCGCCCTCCCCATGCATTCCCATTGTTGGGCCCCTTTCCCGAAACCGTTCACCCATGTCGGACACGTCACCAAACAGATTGGCGAATTTCAGCTGGTTTTGGACCATGGCTGCCGTTGGCTTGAGCTTAATGGCAACCAGCCAGATGCGGGCGACGTCGCTGCCGCGGTGGCGCTTGCGTACTGCGACAGAGCCGGCGAGCGGCTGACGACGCCAGCAGCTCAGGGTGCCGTATTGCCAGCATGTGATGATCTGGACGCTGCGCTTGTGAAGCTACGGCGGTACGGCATGGCGAAGCAGCTACAAACCCAGATCGTCGGCGCGCTGCGCGTAAGGACCGGAGGAGGCACTTAAAGCGGGGCCTGAGGAGCGGGGTCCTGGCAAGGGCCTTAAGATATGAGCTTACACGCTTTGGATACCGTTTAGAATGGCACTTCTGATCAAAGGGCACATTTACAACTTTTTGACCGGTCTTAACTCTGGCTGGGAGTGTGACTGGTTGCGCCGGTACAATGAAACGAGTATCCTGGGGAGCCTTTGCAGAAGCCGGGCTGAATATGAGGGCATCGGAGTATCCTACACTTTATCAATGTTCCATTCATGTACGTTTTCCCCTCTGGCCTTCTCATTCCCCTCTCTCCTGTCCTGCCAAGTCCCCTCTCATCGTATGACCCTTTTCCCAGGACCTGGCACCAGAATACGCCTGTGAGCTAGTGAACCTGCCCCTGGGCCCAGACACAGCTGCCCGCCGAGCCAAGGGGGTCGCCCTCATGCGCGGAGTGCTCAGGTCCGCAGCAGCGGTGGTAGTGCGCAGCGGAGCTGCAGCTGCCGCGTCAAGCGACGGCGGCGAGCTGCTCGCCACCGACGTCGACCCGCAGAACGTCGTGGGTCATGCCCGGCGGATGATGCAGCGCGGCCGCGACTCGCTGACGTGTGGAGAGCAGGTGCGGAGAATCCCTGGCTTAAGGCGGGCAAAATCGGGAGGATCGGCGTGCAATCGGGCGCAGGGAAACCGAAAAGATAGCTCCAAGCACGGGAAAGGCGGGTGGTGTGGAGAGGGAAAGAGCCTCAGACCGGTTCCATGCCTCATTGCCGTCTCTGTTAGTTGCACTTACGGGCTGATTTGGAGGGTTTTCTTGAGAAATCACCAAACGTTACAAAGGATACCTGCACGCAATTAAAATAAGTCTTCCTTCGGTAGGTAGGCCGGGTGTGTCTGTGTGACGCGAGTCCCCCTTGGTCGTGCTCACGGTTGCCGCCACCATCACCGCCGCCGCCGTTCAGGTCGCCCTGTTGCCAGATGCACTCCGCGGCACAGGCGCCACACCTCACCCCGACGTCCTGTACGACGGCGCGCTCGCCTGCATCGTTGAAGGTTACCGTAGCGGCTGGCCGCACCTCGTTCACCAAGCAGACCTGTTGCTACAGCGTTTAGACGACGTCGTACGGCGCCAGGCTGATGCATTGAGGGAGAGAGAGGGCCTGGACCAGAGCCCCGCTGTGGCGGCGTCGATGCGACGGGTGCAGAATAACGGCGTTGCAGTCACCGCAACGACAACGGCGATGTCGGGAATCAATTCTTACGGTGGATCTGGTGCAGCAGCTGTTGATGTTGGCAGCGGGGAGGGTCTGCAGGGAGGCGGCGTGGCGCTGGAAAGGGCTATGTGTGCCATCATGTTAGGGGATTACGCGGCGGCGGCAGCGCTGCTGTGTCTTACGCACGACAGTGGCGGCATGAGCATGAGTGGTACTTCGGGGCCGGAGGGGGCAGAACCGACGGCCGATGAGAAACTGCGGAGCTTCGTCATGGTATGAGAGGGGCAAGCAGGGGCAAAGCAGGAGGGAGGCCAGCAGAGTCATAGGACGGATTATCGTGCTTGCATGTGGTTCGTGCACAGGAAAAGCGGCTTCGGTAGTGCGCAAGCGCGAGGAGCGCACTTCTGCCCAAACTTCTACCCCCCATAAGCGGGGTACACGTTTTTGAGATTTGTTATAAATATTTATTTGTTATAAATGGTCGCTATACACGCGAAAATCTTGGGAAAGTGCTGCCGCACATAGGCTTACATCTCAGCACCCAATTTCACATCGCCGAACATAGCCCAAACTTTAAACCGTGCCCATCTGAGCCCATCAAGAAGACCGATTGTCTATGGAACCGCAGGAGCACGCCCCGCCCGGCACACATGACATGCGGCCGGGGCTGCGTGCGCTGGTCACTAAGTGGCTTCAAGGTGTGGCACTGGCCAGCTTCAGGGACACAGCAGGCCAGCCGGCGATGCCACTGGAGTCCTCCTGGTTCACCGACCCACGGGTGGTTACCTACCTGCAGGTGCGTTATGTGCCCTATGCTAAAATAGAACACCCCTCACGTGTATAAATGATGTTTCCTTTATTGCCAATGTGCGGATGCATAATGACGCCCTAAGCGGGGCAAAGGCAAAGGCGGGGCTGTGGGTGTGGGTGTGCCTCTTGGTGTCACGTGGTGGCACCGGTGCAGAAGCAGATTCTTGCGGCTGGTGTTGAAGGGTACTATCGATGCTGGTGTTGACGGAGCGTTCTTAGTGTGTTGTCGTTGGTGTGTTCGCAGGTTTGGCGCATGTGCCGCCACACCGAGCGAGTGCTGGATGCAACGCACTTCGTTTGCAACCTGCTGCCCAACATGATGAAGCTGCTGGCGGAGGTAGCCGCCAAGGCCGCCGCGGTGGCAGCACTGACAGCATCGCGTGCGCAGCGAATTGCCGCGGCGCTGACGGCTATCGCCGCCGCTGGCCCGACATCATCACCCAAGCCCCAAGCCAGCCTGAGCGGCATCGGTGGACGCGGCACGGGTGGTGCAGCAGCTAACCGTAGGCCAGGTGGCACAGCAATTGGTGCCGCCAACCGCCTTTTCCCGGGTCCCACTGCTGCTACCACTGCCAGTGCGCCCGTTGCTGCTGCCACAATGCCCCCGGTCTTTGAGGCAGCGGTTGGAACATCGTCGGACGCCGCTAGGCGCCATCCCCCGGCTGCTGCTACGCCGAGCCCCTTTGGTCATCCATACGGCAAAACACTGCACAGCGTCTCCCCTTCCACTGCCACGGCAGAAGCAAGCGCGAGTCCGTCAGCCCGTATGAGGAGTGCACCGGAGACCCGCGCACCACCATCCCATGGGACGACTGCTGGTGCCGGCGGCGCCGCCGCGGCTGCAAGCCCACCGAGGTCTGCTCGCGCCGACGTCCGTCATCGCTTCGCCGCCGGTGCCGCCATCGACGCCGCGCAAGATCTGCCCGGTGCCGGCGCCGCCGATGGGCATCATATGGCCAACGGCCACACTGCTCCTGACGAGTTCGACGAGATGGACAGCCACGCTGCAGCGCTACGGCGAGGGGCGACGGAGCAGGACCTCCGGGTGCACCTCGCGGGCTTGGAGGCGGCCATGTGGGATAGCGAGGTTCCTGAGAGAGGCGGCATGTCGCTACAGCGCCTCCTACTGATGGCGGTTGGCGTAGTAAGCGTGACGGGTCATTCTGACTATCATTGCAACCCTAATTGTAACCGTGGTCGCTATTGCATCTGTAGCAATGTGGGCGGGTTGACGCTGGAGGCAGTGGCACGGAAGCGCAGTAGGCCCAGAGAGGGCAATGGAGCAGCCCCATTCGTGCCGGCTTGCTTGTCTTTGCCTATATTTACAGTGTCCTTTTTCCGCCTCGTCCTTCGCAGTTCGCCACCCTTGCTACGTTGTTCCATTTTATGGTTCTTCGGAGGAGTGACGGCGGCGGGGCTATGGTACTGCGCGCTCCGGCGGCGGCGGCCCCGGCGGCGGCCCCGGCAGGGGCGTCCACCAGTGTCTCCTCTTTCGCGGCATCTTCCTAGCGGGATCCGATGCCGCTCCCGATGGCGGAAGGTCGCGGTTGATTCACGGAATGCTGCGTTTGCGCAGGATGAGGAGATGATGTGTTGTGATGTGGCTGAGGCTTTTGCGATGAGGCCGCAGGCAGGCGGGGCGGGCGCGTGGGTGGGGGCGGGTGGGTATTCGAATGAGCGAGTGACAAGGACACAGTTATTTTTGCGATCACGTGGTGCCGGTTTGCGAGAAAATGCATACTGTTGTGCTGATGGCTATTAATTGCACGTATGTCGCTGCTCTGCAGTTTGACGCTTTATTGGCTGATTTTTGCTTCTAGCATGTCTACTGTGACAAACTTTTGAAATGGCCCACAGGTCATGTGTTGTATGGTACTTTCGTAAAACGGAGCTGCGTACTGCAGCAGCGTTGGTAGGAAGACAGGCGCATGAGTCAATCCAGTTGGCGGTCTGCAGCGCGATTGGGATGGATTGGATTGCGCATGGCATGGCTAGACCTGAGAGGTTATGAAGGTGCAATACATGCTATCATTCCCCCTCCTGCTAAGTCAGGGACTACCGTTTCTGAAGGAATGGCTGCGAGTATTGATAGTGGAAGTACATGTTTGTTGGGGTAGACCGTACTTCTCACCTACTCCGTTGTGAAATCCTCCTCTTGGTAACCCAAGCTTTGGGAAAGCAGCAGAGTACTTAACACACCCCTCATGTCGGCAGGGCTGATAATGATTGCCTAAGGGAACGATTTTGCCACGGAGCTTGTACAGAGCCGCTGCATTGGCGCCGAACCCAGAACTTGCCCTGCACGGTTGCTGGGTTCTCATTAACAAGGCTGCGCCTCATGGCCCGACCCGACAGCTTGCCGTGCAGTCACAGAAATGGTGGAGAGGGAAGAGAGCATGCGGTGTGATTGTTGAGTTTTAGGTTGTATTGGTTGCTGGTTGACAGTTGCTGGTAGATCAGTTATGTGCCATTATGTGGCCCAGGATTGGCAATACTCATGATCCGAGGTACATGCGCACGCTAGATGTAACACGATGCAGGACCCATGCAAAACACCCAGCACGCGCGCACAGCAAGCGTATGGACTGTTCGCCCGTTTATTGGTGGCTGTGACGACTGGACCACTAGGGGGGACGAGCAACTCCTTGCCCAACGGGCGAAGCGAAAGTGATAGTGAGGTGAGAACCCCCGCCCGGCTCAGAGTCCGAGTAATAGTAAAATCCGTATCTGCTTCCAAATCCTTTCAGTTGACAGGTAACTGTTGGACTTAGCATCGGGCTTGTATTCGTGTTGGGCAGGGCAGGTTTCATGAAAACAGTCTCTTCGTGCTCCTGCTGACCCACCCTGTTGCTGCATACTCCTGGTACTCCTTCGGCTTCAGTGCGCACCATCCTGCTAGCATGACGTCATGTGAGGATACCGCTTGGTGGAACCGGGAATGCCGGTAAACGCGACAGCGCATTGTTGAGTGTAGGGTGGTCCCTGCTGGGTTTACGCAGGGTGAGTAATAATTCGGGTCCAAAACGGGAGGCTTTCTGCCGCACGCGGACGGGCTACAACTGGGCGAAAAGGCATGCGAAGGCAGCACATGAGGGATTTCGTGGCCAAGTGTCGGCATGATTAATGAGCTTTGCGGCGGTCTTTGGGAGGGACATTGAGGGAGCGATGTGCGATAGGTAATATTGGGGTTTTCAGGGGGGAACAATTTGCTTTGCTGTTTAACACGGGTGTGGAAGAGACGGGGCCTGATGGTGCGAATCGGCTTCTGAACTTCATTGACAACAAAGCCTAGAGGAACAGGAATGTCGGACGTCCCATTGTTTGGGGGCAGGACTTCTCAGGCAAAAGAAATCCTAGAAACCCCCTTCACGCTGGGGGAAGTCGCACGTGCTGTTGACCGGCTGCTTAACAGTATGGCACCAGGCTTGGAAACAGCACCGTCGGAGTGTTACCGCTGGACTGTCCGATGTACGGCGAAACCAGGTCGTATATGAATTTCCCACGCTTTGAGCATATGAAGGACGCTATGAAGTGAAAACTTGAACGCCTGGCGACGATGCTGGAGCGTGTGTGGTCCCATCGCAACCTGGTCGTTGGCCTCCTTTATCACTTGCTTTGTCTGAAGTTCGAGGTAGGATGGCTGCCAGGTCGCTTACAGGCGATCTGGCTGCCCTTGCGCCCTCGGCTCGTATTGGGCGGTTTGCAGGTATGGGGTATGCACACCCACGACCATGTAACACACACACATACACATCCACGTTTATGTCTGTATGTTTGTATTCGTGGTGGCCACGCGCGTGTGCACGTGGGGCCTATCTTGCATGTGTCTCGTGCACGTGTCTGTATGTTTGTGTTTGTGTTTATCTCATCAGCCGTGTCGGTAGCGCATGCGGTCCAGCTGCAGCGCCCTGGCCGCCCCCTCAACTCGGCCCCTACAGGTGCAGCAAATAGGGGTCAGGTGCACGCACCTACAGACGTGCGTGGACGAGGGTGTCACGTTCACGCACATGATGCACATGGCAAATTTGAGAGTTCCAGATGTCGCCTGAAACGTGATGCCGCATACGCTCGCCTGCGTTGGCGACTTGTCAAAGTCGCCATTTTGGTGGGCTCTGTTGCCCAGCTCCGCGCTCCCGCTTTGCCGAGCTGCACTGGAAGACGCATGCGTGATCATTATGGCTTTAGAATCCTTGCATGCGATAATTGGTTGCCTCGTAAATGAAGAAAGGGATTTCTGAGACGCGGGTAGACATGTTGCGAACTTCGTTCTGGTTTCAAATTTGAGGGCCATTGGTACAGCTGGAAGTACACAATTAGGGATTCTGTTCTATCTATGCAGTGCCTTTGCTGTTAAGCAATTCAATTTGCGTCGATTGCGGCAAGTAAAAAGAGCTACTGCCTAATACGGCAAAGTGACGCATATTCACAACCGTTGCCGTACACGAAAAAACTCCCTAGATAGCATTCCCACGGAGACAAACTGTGACCAACAGATTCCCGTTAAAGAAAGGGAACGACGATTGTGTTCGACAGCCCTGCATGCCCTCCGCAATGAGACGAAATACAGTGCCAACGTTTCAACAAATGTGTTTAGCATTCTCGACCGCTCATGAACGCCGGTCAACGAAAATTCCCCTGCCTTTCTTTTCCCCGTTAAATGTCGCCGTACCTAGCTTTACACCACAGACGGTGTACTTTGTATCCCGCACCTATTGACCTGCACCCCACAGCCACCGGCAAAGGCGTGGGACCCTTCCAGGAGGGCGACCTGTTTGCGACGCTCCCGATGTGTGCTTCGACTGGCTCCACCACTGCCGCCTCGCCCCCTCAATCCCCGCAGCTGCCCTGCAGGCCCGCCATTCCACCGGCCCAAATCTGCCTCAGTGCCTGTCAGACTGCGCCCAATCCACCCCCTCATCCAGCTTTCCCCGAGTGGGCTCCTGAAGGCCCTGCCCAACACTGTGCTTCGCGAAGCTCCGCTGCGCCTCTCGCACCTACTCCTCCGCGGGGCGCCGTGTGACGTCCACCTGGGGGTGCCGTCCGGTACATACAGCCGTACTGGATCAGAGCCTGGTAAGGCTTGGAGTAACTTCTGTTTGTAAAGCTGCCCTATGCCTACCTGGTCCCGTTGCACGTCTTCCGGTGGCGACCCATGGGTCACTCCGTGTACGTCTGCACGTGGCTCTACATTGGACGAGGGCGGCACGGGGCCCTCCACGTCTCGGTCCGCAGGCGGCGGCTGGCTGCGCTGCGCTGCTGTGGCCGCTGCTCGACCAGGAGGGACAGGCACACATATGCAGAGGATTCAATCCGCTTTAAACGGTCCCATTGTGAAGGAGGGGCAACAAGCGCGAAAGGCGGTGTGTGAAGGAATGGAAATCATGCATGTGCAGCAATTTCCTCACAAGAGATAGAAGCCCGATACTGGCGTACGAATATGTCACATGAATTTCGCCTGTGAGCTTCCCCGATGGCGCTCTCCCTTGCCGACCTACCTACGCATTAACCTACCTACCTACCCGCCTGCCCACCCACCCGCCTGCCCACCCACCCGCCCAACCCACCCACCCGCCCCACCCACCCACCCGCCCCACCCCCCTGCCCCCCCACCTACCTACCTACCTACCTACCTACCTACCTACCTACCTACCTACCTACCTACCTACCTACCTACCTACCTACCTACCTGCCTACCTACCTACCAGGGACTTCCCCGCTTTCCTACCTCCCTCAGCGGGGCTGCGGAAGGCCTCCGTGGGGTGCTGCTGGCTGGCGGCTGGGTCCTGATGCACGGGGTAGCTGTTAGCTGGCATGCCCTGGCTGTCCAGAGCCTCCTCGGGTGCCGCCGTGTCCGTGACCTGGCTGGCAGTCTGCTGGGTGATGGAACCTGGGACGGGGTTGGGAACGGCCTCGCGGTCCTGTGCGCAGGGACGAGGTACAGAAGGGGGCGGCAGCGGCAGAGGCGGTGGTAGCGGAAAGTGCAGTGACGTAAATAGAGGTCGATTTACTGGGCTGGATATCCTCATGAATGAGTGTTCGGGTGTTGCTGGCCACATAAACGTGCCTAATATGTGTGTGTGTGTGTGTGTGTTACATGGTTGGGGGGTGCGTGACCCCATACCTGTAAGACTACCCATACGAGCCGAAGGCCCAAGGGCAATACTACAACGCCTAAAAGCCACGGAGAAAAAGGAAAAAAACACCGCACATCAGCCCATACTAGCGTCCAAAGGGGGTAATTGAGTTTCGGTGAGCCCACATACGTTCCAACATCCTCGCCAGGCGTGCGGGTTCCCATTGCATGGCCTCCAACATACTCTGTTGATGGTCGAATCCCTCTTCAGCACGAATATCATTATAGGCTGGGCATTCCAATAACACGTGTTTTTCATCCTCAATTCGGCTATTAGGACCACAACAGTGGCAAAACCGCTGCCCCCTGGGAACATGGTACTTGCCCCTTCGTGCTCTGTTCGCCTCCAAAGCCCAGCAACATAAACGAAACTGCATTAGCTTACGATGTGCTAAACGAGGAATGAAAACATTAGCATGTGTTGGCCACATGACGGCTGCGGCTCCCGAAAAGGGCAGCCCCATCCAGTGCTTATACTTCGCCATTTGCACTCCCGGTTGCTTCCCATCTGATGGGTACTCCTCTGGCAAGACAGTCAGACGCGTATGGTCCCAGCCGCTCATCAAACGCTCTCTTTCTATTTCTATTTGCCATGGATGCCTAATATATCGGTATGCCTGCTAGATCCATGGCGTCAACGTGCGGGGCCATGTATCGGTCTTTCGCCGCCTGGGAGACGATTACTCCCTGGAGGAGTTAGGGTTTTGCTGCGGATGGGTGGGGACCGTAGGGAGACGTATGCGCCATGTGCAGGAGGGGGGATGTCGGAGTTAGTAACACCGCATCTTGTCACGTCGTGTTACGTCGATACGCATCCTAACATGCACGCACACATGCATCCTTCCGTGTGTAATGGCCTCGCCCGCCTTCCTGTGCACCGAGTGCCGAGCGCCAGTGCGCTCACCTTTCTAGCAGACTCGTACAAGCCGCCCGTCGCCAGCTCGTGACCCGGATCATCCCGGAGTCCGCCAGTGTGCGGCGACGGCGGCTGCTGGGATTGGCCTGTAGCGCATCAGGGGGTGAATATGATGATGTCACCTGACGACCGGGGGCGTTGGAGAATTCCATTTGAGACCGTGCAGTGACAAGCCCAAAGAATTTGCTGTCGCTGATATACACGAAAGATCGGCGCAATTCACTGAGTCAACAACATAAGCATTAGATGAGGAGATACGTTGCAAATAATTACTGTCTACGGCTCCTCACTGCTGATACTCATGGTGGTTCCAGCTGACCTGAAGCAGCGCGGTAGCATGCCGCCGCACAAGCGCGCACCGCAGCCGCGCTTGTGTTGGTCCTGCAAATCGCAAGGCTCAGCATTTAAACAGTTATTTTGTATGTGATTAGACAGAGTGAATGAAAATGTCCCGTTGCGTGTGGCGTTTACTGAATAAGTGGAGGTCGGGGCCGATATAGGACTCCAACCGGCTTCGGAGCACCAAGCAACAAGCCGTAATAAATGACGCAAAGACAGCCTAGAGTGAAGCGCCACACATCGATAAGCTGTAGGTTCTACAGCTTAGCATCGCAAGAAATGGATGTAAGGACGGAGTTAGACAGTGGCGGTCCTTTTGCACATATCCAGACCCATGGGTCACGCGGCACATACAGTACTGTATTGTCTAGTGTAATTTAGTGAACTAGGAAATCTCTGCATCTATTAGTTTGCTGTGTGCATTCTGAACTTGCCGAGCCGACTGCATCACAAAGAAATTACAATTGTACCAGATACCCATTCACATCTGTAGTAGACACCATTTCATAGTTAGACAATAAAGACTAAACATGAATGGCCTTTTCACTCTGTATGCCACACCCTGATTTTTAATCAGGATTTGCGGGTAAACCAAGCACATTCTAAGCACACTCTATCCAGGACATTGCGGTGCTATGCAACTAACACGTGCGCACTTTGTACTACGTGTATCCTTCATCTCACCGCGTAAATTCCCGCACGCCATAATAAGAGTTTATGTTCGGACCTCCGTGCTGGTAAGCGACCACAGCGCTTACGAAAGACACGGATGCATCCCCTTCGCCGTGCGCGATCTATTCGGTCATTATACCGCCCTGGGCATGCAAATCTACGTGATGCCCTGTCACAGCTAGACTCGCATTACTTGCTACCGCCTCCCCGCGGCAGATTTTGCAGTCACATCCTGCTAAGCTCTACAGGAGCATCAATCTTCCTACTTTGACATCTTGTGAAGCGAGACCAGTCATTAAACACCTGCCCTGTCGCGAGGTTGCCAGGTAACTTGGGAGTCAGATCGCTGAACTCTTCGCGTCAGGTAGGATCACGATGACCCCTAACAAGGGTCAACCTACGCACAAACGCACACACTCTCAAGGAACAGCTCCACTCCCAACCCCGCAGACGCCGCTATACCAAAATCCACTAAGGTCTTTGTAACACCACAACCCAATCCATGACTAACTCTAGACAGATCACTCGCGGACCGCGCGCGCATGCACAGCTGCATTCCGAAGACTCGCCAGAGTCATAATCAACTCCCCGGCGTTCCATGACAAGCTGCTAAACTCCTTAAGCTGCACCACCAGCGGCGCCAGCCATCTCCAACCGCTCTACACCCTCCAGAAGCGACTCGTATGGCAACGGCACAGACGCCGTTGCCTCATCTTCGCTGCTGATGCCTGACTGGAAGGCGGGCTGCATCTCATACGCCGCAAAGTGGATGAGCCGTGTGGGACCGTCAGCGGATATGAAGTCAATACCCGAGCTAGAACCCGCGGGATACCCAGGGTTGGTGGGCGCACTGCCGCGGTAGACTCGCGCCGTGAGCACCTCGCCTTCTCCCGTGAACACCTCGAGGCAGGAGTAGTCCAGGAACACGCGAAGTGACAACGGGCTGCCCGGGGCAGGCGGCCGCTGCAGCCGGCCGCCGACTCGCCGCACCCCTGGGGCCGCCAAGCTGAAGGTAAGCGTAGCCGGGTCGATTGCCTCGTAAACGACCTGTACAGGAGCCACCACGACATGTCGGAGCTTAATACGCAAGCATAGGTAACCAAGCTGAACAATGCCGTGGCCAGCTATCGTGGAAACCCAATTTGGGAGGCCATGGAGCCACGAACCAAACAAAAGTCATCAGACAATACGCCATAACCTAAACAGGCGATGAAATTGAACCCGCCCTTGTACCTCAAGAATGCCGGTGTCCCAATTGTAAATTAGCGCTGCTGAGCCCTCAGGGCCGCTGCTCCAGCTCTGCAGCAGGAGCCCCGACGCTGAGCAACGTGGCTCGTCGGCGTTGCAGTCGGCCGCGGGCTGGAAAACCAGCTCCAAGTCCAGGAAGGGACCCGATACGGTTGGCACCGGCATCTGTGGGGTCAAAGCCAGGAGATTAGGGCACGGCCATTAAGTACCAAGACCATTTGCAGGAATTGCTGTAGTGTAGTTGTGGCCCAATGAAAAGTCACGGAGGCTGTTTAAGGAGGTGACACGATAGCCGCGGTCAAAAGATCCATCCCATGCAGGTACCTTCGCCCCGCCGTCAACGATTAGATCCATGACCCCCAAGGGCAGCGCATCTTGCAAGCGCCAGGAGCGAAGCGGGTGGCGCAGCTCCGCCAGCTCTGGCAAAGGCTGCTGATGAAGCGCCAAAGAGCAGACCGCAGAATCCGTAGACGAGTCAGTGGAGGGATCTGCACAGTACTGGAGCCACATGACTCGCGGAAGAGTTAAGCACCCCGCGTAGTCGTACACGTCCACCTTGTTCCGCTGCTCTTGGCCCCAACCCCACAGAAGCGTCCGGCCCTGCGACAAAGGGTGCAATCCAGTGACACGGCCGTTTGGGCCATTGGCATGCCGAGCTCTGTCATCGGTTGTCAATTTGTGTGGGTTGGGTTAGGTGAGGGTGCGTACTCCCCGTCAGCTGTCCATTTCGAGCCGTGGTGCCTTCAAGGGCTTCACACTGCCTGCCTTATGCCACTCTGTCCAGAACTCGGAATGTGAAAGGAAAAGGAAAACCGCTAGGGACATTGCTGGTGAAAAGGTAAACGCAAGATGCGCTGTCCAAGGGTTCAAGTGAAAAACAGATGTGGATGCAAAAATCTACACTCGCGCCCTTACATCCCGGGATAGTGCGTAGGCCTGTTATGCCCTAGCTTTTGCGGTCCAGCCGAAGTGCCTCCCTTCTCCCTTCACCTTGGCAGTGTCGTGGAGAATATTGGGCGCATACAGGACGTTTCCAAGGTCCAGGCGGTAAGGGCCTTGCGAGGTTGCCAGGTCGAAGCGCCTCGAGACGGGGTCATACGGCCCCAGCCAGTAGTATGATGGATTTGTACATGCATCAGGCTGTATGGCGCAGGGGGGCCAGAGACAAGACACGTGCGGCTAATCCTCAATGAAGAAAGGGCTATCTGGGTCTAAGTGTGCGACGCGCCTTGGTACCCCTACGAACCTCCCTTGGCCTACTCAGTATTTGGATGCAAGTAAGCACGATTTATCCGGTCAGATCCACTGTTATCGTCATTCATTCACCCAAATTCGACATCCCGCACATACTGCCGCAACAGTTCCATTATCGAGTGGGCCCAAGCAGGGGTGAAAAACACATCTGGCAAGTGGGGGCAATGCGAATCCTTAAGGCAGGGAAGGTTAAATCTCACACGTCGGCAACCACCATCATCTCCCATCACCAGGAAGACGACTTCAACAATTAACAAGAGCCGCTTATACAGCATAGTCACTAACCGAGACAGAGAAGAAGTACATAGACGTGCTCGATTCCATTTCGCAGTCGGCCGCCGCAGATGAAGTAGCCAACGCATCCTGCGATACATTGCAAGCGACAGGCATTCAGTTATGACGCCTTCATAGCTGGGAACAGTCAAATCGTATCATCTCGCATTCACCTATGTTACTTTTTGTAATCATACATGTGCGCCATACAGTAGCCTCTTGGGGCGCCAATCGCCTGTCAGCGCGTGATCGCTGCAATGTACCGTCCCTGCACTACCCGCGCACCTGTCCTCCGCTTCCAAAAAGCGACGCGTTGCGCGGGAGAGTTGAAAGCTTAAAAAGGATCGGACACTCCCACATGAAGCCCGTGTCTGCGCCGTTCCCACGACCGTGGCAAAGCTCGCCGTGAAATTGCCATCCTGCGTGTCCCCCAAGTAGAAAGTGGTCTAGTATGGCGGCTGCAAACAAATTACTACGGCACACAGTCCCTAGTGATATGTTTGCTAGTGACATGTTACCCTAAACCTAACAATTACACACGGCACAAGAAGACTCCTCATTGCGCACCATCCAGTAGCTCTTTCGAGGTGTACACGAGAACGCTGCCGCCACTGTCCTTGACACCGCTGCCAATAATCATAGTCCAGCAGTCGGAGCCCTCATCCCCCGGTCGGCTGATGATGGCAGGGTCACGCCAGCCAGCGAGGCGCTCCAGTCCGTTGGACGGCGGTGGCAGTGACAGCCAAGGGTACTCAATCTTCGTCCAGTACGTCAGCTTGGGGTCCTCTACATGAAACCGGCAGCATGAGCATGAGCTTTATACCCAGCCTAATCTACTCGTTGCATTCAACTAGCCTATCAAAGAACCTGGACGCCGAAAACGCCTCTCGAGAATGAATCGGACACGAGCGCTGTAGCCAGTCGATATTGGTGGTGTGCCGCACCGTACTATACGACAGCACCTACACCTGCGCACGACGACCCACACTCGAAAATATATAGCGATACGTGCCTGGGTCCACTGGACGCGCGGCGCACTGTGACTCGATGAAGGGAAGCTGGAGATCGCACTCGGGAGGCGGCAGCGGCCCACAAGAAACGTTGCTCCGCAGCCGCACGCCCCTATAACCAATCCAGAGGGCAAGGACAACTGGATTTTCCCCCTGTGCGTCAACATATCGTCGATGGCCCAATTACCAATACTGGTCAACCCGAACACTGTTACTTAACATCCGAGTTCAGGTGCGAATGGAGGTCAACAAAAAATTGGCAAGGTTCAATAAGATGATACGTTTATGCGTGTGAGCGGAAATACGCCTAGTGGAAATCAAACTCCACACAATTCCCCAAAGGGTTGACTCACGTATATAGGATAGTCGGAACGCCGTTCTCGTCTAGCGTTGCGCAGCCGCTGAAGCAGCCATCGGCATCTAAACTTCCAGGTGTGCATTCGATTGCGGGTGGTAGATGCTCCCAGTTGACAAGGTCGCGTGAAACACAATGGCCCCAGACCAGGCCGAACTGCCAGGTGCAGCCCTTGGGAATATGTTGGTAGAACCTGAACCAAGGATGATTTCGAAAGATCTGCTGAAACCGTTTCGTGCGAGTACTTTGTCACAGCTGCATTCCGACATGGAGTGTCAACCTGAAGAGCAGCCTGCACAACAGCAAGATTTTTCACTTCACCTACATATGATAATATCCACGGTAATAAAGGGGTCCATTAGGATCTGCGAAGGGGATAACGGGAGAGGTAGGTCAGGTTCGATTTGGAACTCACGCGAGAGACAAGCCTGCACGTAATCACCGTTCATCCATCCTTGTTGGGGTGCAATATGGAATGAGGGCCGGTCCTGGCGCACGAGGGCGGCTGTCTCCGTCGGTTGCGTTGGCGACATCACCACAGCGGGAATGCTTGACCTCGGACGGCAGGCCTGCAACCTCTGGATTACATAAATCGAAGCGAAGAAGGAAAAAAATGTAAAATGTTCCGAATCGGACGTTGCAAGCGTGTGGGCAGTCAGCAAACAAAATGCTTTCGAGCAGCCGGCCTAAGCGCACACCAGGACAGACGGGTTGCGACCGTAGCTCCGCAGGCCGCCGAGGTGGGCGATATGGCAACGGCGGATGTGTGAGGCCATGCTTTGGGGCATCGAGCGTACGGAGGGTGAGATCATCATGCAAACGAGATTGGTACCACAGCCACACCGTATGAAATATGCCTAATGCAGGGGGATCACGTTTCTAAGGGGATCACGAGTAAGGGATCACGAGGAATTTGCTTTTATGGTTGCGACGAGGACAGCGCTGCCTTTTCTATGCGGACGGGCGAGCAAAAGTGGCGCCAAAGAAGTTTACGAACATGTCCGTACAGTTCTGCAAAAATCTTTCCTAGAGCTCGCCAAGGATATGGGTCACGAGTTATTCATCAGGGTTACTTGCACCCTGTTACGTGATCACGGGTGTTAAGTAAGGCTCGGTGCGGGCGCGGCGCAGGTCTCGGTGCAGGCCTTTCACGGTTTCTCACGGTCTCCCACGGGCACAGGTTTTCAGGTGGACCTCTACGCCAAGGTTCTCGCCTACTAGCTCCCTAAAACACAGCTCTTATCATACATTTATTTCCAAATCGCAATTGAAAGTCCTTCTTACAGCTGCGTCTCCTTGCAAACTGTGTTGTTCGCAACGATCGAAGCGCTCGCGATGGCGGCCGCCGCACACGAGCCCAAGCCGCGCTTCCACGTCGCGCCGCCGCAGGGCTGGATAAATGGTAAGCGTGTAATATTAATACATAATGAATAATATTTTTGCAGTGGCAAGTCCACTGGCTTGGCGTATGAGTGCCCGTGGCGCAGAGCTGGGGACTCTCGATTGGCGGTCGCGACATCCTGTCGCAATTGTGGGCACCTTGCTTGTTCCTTTATCTGGCTGCAGATCCGAACGGGCCCCTTTTCTACAAGGGCTACTATCACTTGTGAGTCGAAGCGTCACATGTGTCGCCGGCGTGGCGGCTTCCTGGGCACTGACGTCTTGCCGGGTTGGGACGTCTTGGGACTTGTTTGGCTCAAGACGGCGAAAGGTTAAGGGCGATTTAATTTGACAATTATTATGCCAACTAATTAACTAATTAAGGCCGAATACAAACGATTAAACATCTGAAAGGACAGATCGGGCGTGCAGCACGCAATCGCCGCGCTCCTAACCTTCAACTTTATAAATCTAAAACCCTAAGTATTTACCAAATTCAGTCCATGGTCACCAAACGCGTACGCGGACGACGCGCGCCTGTTGTTGTTGTTGCACCTAACCATCATTGCATGCTCCAACGCACCATTTAAGTTCCAACGCATCAGTTGTTGTTGCATCGAGACGCATTATTGCTTACAACATACTCCTTGCCCTGTCATGCCTCAGGTTCTATCAGTATGTGGAAACAGGCTGCACCTGGAACTGGGGTTTGCTTTGGGGCCATGCTGTGTCGCGCGACCTAATCACATGGCAGCACCTGCCTCCTGCACTCGCCCCCACGTTTGGGGGCTTCGACGGAGATGGTTGCTTCAGCGGTTGCGCCACCCTCGATGAAGACGGTGTGCCCACCATCCTGTACACCGGTATGGAATGGTGGGGTGGAGTATGGTGGGATCCATACTCCGGCCTGCCTCCATCTTCGCAGTCTAACAAACTGTGACGACCCAGATCAGCACTTTGCTGCCCCAGAACGGCAGTGCTAGCTTGACCCAGATGACTCATTATTGCTGACCCACATGGGAATTCATACCGCTATGGTCTAAATAATAAAAGCAGCAAACTTGGGAGACCCAGACCTTCCTCGACTATGACTGTGGCACACCTTACTCTCCTACCGTTGCAGTTATTTCCTCTTGTCCTAATACGGCACATATAGTGCATATATGCGTCCCCCCTCCGGACTGCATCCCTCCGCTCCGTATTCCACTCAGGGGTCCGTCTGCGCTCGAGTGATGTCTGCGGTCCGCTGCCTCCGCCCGAGTGCGACCTGGGAAACGCCTGCATTGAGACGCAGTGCCTCGCCTTCGGTGACCCTGGTGGGTCACTGGTCAGTGTGCGTGTTTGCGGGGGAAAATGGTGGGAGGACATACGTGTGTGTGTGTGCGTGTGTGTTACATGGTTGGGGGTGCGTGACCCCATACCTGTAAGACTACCCATACGAGCCGAAGGTATGTGTGTGCGTGTGTGTGCGTGTGTGAGTGTGTGTGTGCGTGTGTGTGTGTGTGCGTGTGTGTGTGCGTGTGTTTGTTTGTTTGTGTGTTTGTGTGTGTGTTTGTGTGTGTGTTTGTGTGTGTGTTTGTGTGTGTGTTTGTGTGTGTGTTTTTGTGTGTTTGTGTGTTCGTTAAGAGTAAGACCCGCGAGTGCGGGGCGGGTGGGGTTGAGGCCGCGCACCACGGGAACCTCTTCGAGGCGTCTCGCTCCCGGTCCTTAGCGGCCCCCTCGCGACGCCTATCCTACTCTCTCTCTCTCTCTCTCTCTCTCTCTCTCTTTCTCTCTCTCTCTGCTAGACCTAGACCTCAGATTATTCGACGATGAAATGCCTTGGGTCTGATAGCTAGGCTTATGAAAGGAACGGCACCCTTACAGAGCGACGTGGGTGTGTGCTCTCTCCTCGTCCCTGTTAAAGCTCCTCGTCCCTGTGAAGGGCTCCTCTCCGGACGTACCCTACCTCCCCACCTCACGTTACCCTAACCTAACCCCACAACACGTCAAACACAGTTCCTACCCTCCCTGGACCTCCGCGCACCGGTATTCCCCCCAGCCGACCCCAAGCTCACCTACTGGGCCAAGGAGGAGACTCCCTTCCTGTCCCTGCCGCCGCCGAACATGAATCTGACGGCGTGGAGGGACCCCTACGTCCTCGGCCGCCCGGGGGAGGACGGACATGACTGCTGGTAGGTGGGTGGGAGGGTGGGTGGGAGGGTGGGTGGGAGAGAGCGTGAGTGCCAACCTTATGGGCAGAGGGGGGCGGGGGCGGGCCCGGCCGCAGCGGAAGGGGTCCAATATTCATATGCACAACCCGGAATGGGAGGGTTGGGGAATCTCAATGTTACGACTGTTTTCCTTCTTGGAGTGCAACATTTGGAGCGGAATACCGCAAGAAGTCGTGGGGGTAAAGGAGCGTGTTGACTGGTTGTTGAGTAGACCTCTACCAGAAGGAGCGATGATAACGGCACTAAGAGAGCGTTTGATGAGCGGCTGGGACCATACGCGTCTGACTGTCTTGCCAGAGGAGTACCCATCAGATGGGAAGCAACCGGGAGTGCAAATGGCGAAGTATAAGCACTGGATGGGGCTGCCCTTTTCGGGAGCCGCAGCCGTCATGTGGCCAACACATGCTAAGGTTTTCATTCCTCGTTTAGCACATCGTAAGCTAATGCAGTTTCGTTTATGTTGCTGGGCTTTGGAGGCGAACAGAGCACGAAGGGGCAAGTACCATGTCCCCAGGGGGCAGCGGTTTTGCCACTGTTGTGGTCCTAATAGCCGAATTGAGGATGAAAAACACGTGTTATTGGAATGCCCAGCCTATAATGATATTCGTGCTGAAGAGGGATTCGATCATCAACAGAGTATGTTGGAGGCCATGCAA